CAACAGCACCATCCTCCTCCTCCTCCTCCTCCTCCACCACCACCTCCTCCTCCTAAGCAGCAGCAGCAGCAGCATCAACACCAGATGCATTGGACAGGCACCGGAGGCGAGTATATCACCAGCCAGGAGGCCGGTTGGTGGACACCGGATATGATGAGCCAAGGACCAAACGACTTTTCTCATCACCAGAGGAGCGCCAGTGTTCATGTTATGGGGCATGGCCAGCACACGGGGATGCCATACGACTACGGAGCTATTGCCGACACCAGCACGGGTGGGCTCATGATTCACATGCCTCAGCCTCGAGGCTCCCAGTCAACTGTGGTCAATGACTTGACAGTCAACGCCCACACGTTTCTTCCACCGCCGCCTCCCATTCCTCAGGCTATAGGGCAGAAGATGCCGGCTTCAGAGAGATCTCATCGCCCCCCCAAGGCCAAGTCGTCTGGAGCGAGACACATGTCTTGCTCCCCTGTGCGAAAGCAGCGAGGGCCATCATCTTCGCCGACACCCGCGGATCAGTCTGCTGTCCCTCGCTCTCGCCACAGCTCTGGGGCATCTGTGTCATCGTTAAGAAGCAGCTCCGGCCGACTCCCTGCCAGTATGCCTGGCACCCCATGTAGTGTTCGCAAACGCCGCTCTCGAGATATCAGTGGTTCAAACAGTGCCTCGTCTTTGGGTGGTGGCGACGGCGCCGGCGGGATCGGTTTCGTCAACTTTACACCAAATGACGGCAGCGTTCTCATGACAGGCGTCGCCCCCAGTGGAAGCTCCAAGACAAAGGCGCGCCGTGAAAAGGAAGCCCAGGATCGACGCAGACGCCTCAGCGAGGCAGCCATTAAAGCTGTAGCCGCCGCCGGAGGAGATGTTGACAAATTAATAGAGCAAGGGTTTGCTTTTTGATCTTGGGGCGAATGATAAACGCTGTACTACGAACTTGCGATAATGGTTGATGGACACTTTTTCACAGCGACACGAGCGTCACATGAGACGAAAAGGCGTTGAGGAGTCAAAAACGAACAACACTCAAACAACACGATGACGAATACCAATCGTTTCAGAGGATATTCCCTCACGATTTGGGTCACTGATATCGGAGGAATGATACGAATATCAAGTCAATGAAACGATCTCTACCCCACCTACACTCCCAATCCGATCTATTTCATATCATGTTGTTTGTTAACTCTCCTTCACTTTGTTTCCCTTTCCTTTTCATCCGACCCTGTTAAATTCTCTTTCTTGCCTTCTTTCACCCATGTATCTCTGTATACGTCATTCTTCGAAGTCACGTACTTGGAAATTGGGCATAATACCTTTCTTCTAACATGTACCAATCTTGCCTGCCAACGAAGTTTTTGCACGCCCCATGGCTTTTTTGCTTCCCCTTTGTCTTTTTTTTTTTTTCCCGAAATTTCTACCGGCCGAACTGGAAAACCATTTTCTTCATGTAGCGGGACGAGAAGCAAGAAGCGATGATGATGAGATACAAGTCTCTTTGTATGAGTAGGGTGGTTATTATAGTGAGCATAAGAGTAGCAGACACTTAATACCTATAATATTTAACACAACATTGTGCCCTTTTCTACGCACAACACGCCGCGCGTCCAGGAGCGTGGTAACGCGCAAATGTAGCGTTCCATCATCTCTGAATCCGCATGTGTGCACACTCACTTACGTGAACCAAATAGAATAGAATAAATAGTCTTTTTTAGTACCTAAGGTGTGTACAACTAGAGTCTACTTCTCTAGCTTAGGTTCTGATGTTTCCCCATCTTTACGCTCGGCCCAAAGTAATCCTAGCCAGCCAACCGAACCCAGTTGGCCAAACACGAAATCAGAGCCCAGTACCAATGACAATCCCCTCCCAATGCATATATGTACACTCGCAGGAAACAGCCGACCAAAAGACCAAAAGAAAATGAAATGAAACCAAGAGCTCGTGGGAGGGACCATCAAGACCATCATACGACGGTATACGGAGTCTCAAAAAGTCCTTTTCCACATTATCATCAGTACGCCATCATGCCTCCCTAGGCAGGAATAAAAAAAAAACCAAAACAAGCGACATTAATGGGGGAATAAAGAAAAAGGTCAAAATGTAATATATGTGGTGAAGGGATAGAAAAATGCCGACGTGTCGTAGCCGCCCTTATAATCGTTGATGCGATGCAGTACGGAGCTCCATTCTTGACTCAGCGGTATGCATATACCACGTCGCTGTGTGGAGTTGATTCGTCAACTATCCAATGGCTACCGTCAGAATTCAACATGGAAAATGACGGCCGTTGCAAATATTCATCAACCATCAGTAGTGTTGGTTGATTGTAATTGTGAAAAACTTTCGAACGCTGATAATGGAATAACTGTGGAGATGGCTTGGGTATTCCCAGCCTCTCCTTCTTTAGGATGTGTTTCCTTCTGATTTTTACTCGTAGCCTGCGCCACGCTGCCAGGGACTGTACAGTAACTTGTTAGACGGCACGTCCCATTCCGTGTTGTAAAGGGGGGGTCACCTTACCTAGACGTGTTTTGTGATCGGTATCCCGGAGCCGGGCTTGAACTATGGTTGGATCGCTGCGCCGCGGCAGATCCACTGCGGTTGTATGGGCTTGGTGACCCCGAGCGGAAGGGGCTCTCAGGTCGCGGGCCTGCCGGGAAAAGTGGCATGGACGGATTGACAGGCGACCTAGGCCCTTGCTGTCCCTGGAAAGAGTGTTGAGAAGCCGCAGCAGAAGGGTTCTGGCCAGCAGCCCGGCGACGAAGGTCCTCGGACGAGAAAGACTCGTTGTCATCCTCCAAATCCATGTGAGCCTTGTATCCCCCAGCCTTGTCACCTCGGGCAGTAGCGGCAAGAGCATCCAGCTCAGTGGTGGTGGTCAGGTGCGTTTGAGACTTCATAAACGAAGCTCGGTCGTCGGCCATGTACTGGTAGCGGGCATCAGGGTTCTTGCGGATCAAGGAGACCGTAGTAGAGATGATAACCATCAGGAGCAAGATGAGCGCGAAAACTGCGTTTAGGACAAAGAGAACGACTCCGACGACTCCGACTACCAGTTGAGGGGCTCCAAATACATTGGAGAAGATCAACAGGAAAATAGCGTTGAGGAAGTTGACGACGCAGATGGCGATATTGAACGAATTAGTGGGCTTATCCATCCAAGGTCGAAGAACTGATGCCGCGATAAGAGCAGCAGCCTCGATAATGACGAAGCCAACGGCTTGGGCTACTCCGCTCTTCTGAGCAAAGGCGACGAACATAGCCTTGACTAGGGTGTACACCAGAACTGGAACAATAAAGTAGTATGCAGAGGCGCGGAATTGGATGTAGAGGAATCCCCACTTGTTGAGAGTCTGAGGGTCAGAGAACAAAATGTAGGCAGGATTGCGGTGCATAGCCACGGAACGGCGAGCGATGCGGATAACCTTGCTTGCGCCCCAGGCCAGCGTAGCGGTCAGGCCGAAGAAGAAGAAAACAGCAAGCACAACCTCGGCCGCCGAGTCGACTTGAGTAAACTCCCAAAGGCAAAGGATAGCCATCTGAGGAAATCCGATAAGAGCCACACGGAAGAGGATGCCCTTCAAGACGGTGAACCAGCCATTTCGGAACTCAAGGAAAGTATCACTGTCTATCCACTTTTGCTTCACAGCGAGCTCGCAAATTCCCTTGAAGCTGGCAACAGCTAGAATGGTGAAGACGACGAAGATGCAGAAGAAGGTCAAGCCGGTCATGAATAAGTTGGTGGTTTCGATCTTGGAGCGAAAAGCTACACGCTGAATTCCATAAACGATATAAGCACCGGAGGAGGTCATGATGTTGCCTCGCTTCACGAGGTTGCTGGCGGCGGCGACAATGGGCCTGGGCATCATAGCGGCACCACGCCTGAAAAGACTGAGGCCGTGGTCCGTGAAGTCCAGGCCACGCTTTTCAACCTGAACAGAGACAGTGGTAAGAGTATCGAAAATAGTGGACGGGGTGCCACCAGTAGCCCGCTGATACCAAGTGAAAATGGTTTGCATGAACCCGAGCCTAATGATACCCATCGACCATTGGAAATCCTGGGTCCAAGACTGAACAATAGGTGGTAAGTGAACACCGGTGAGACCAAGGATAGCCTGTCCTTGGAAATAGCCGAAAAGCGAGAGCGAGTTGGCTGCAACGTGAGCGGCGGTGTTGGAGTGTCCGAGGCCATTGACAATGGCAGAGGAAACCAAGGCCAAACCAGCGATAATAGCGGTGGCCCACTTGACTCCCAACAAGTCAACCGTCTTTCCGTTTGAAATGTCAGCCTCGACACAGGCGATGCTGCGAGGGTTGTCGGTCTTGGTCAAGTTGATCTGGACACGAACGGTGGCATCCAAGTCGGGAATGCTGTAAGCGATGCCGGGAATCTGCTTGGCAGCATCGGCTGGGACGGGCAAGTTGAAGGCGAAGGGAATCTTTCCGGCAACCATGGGACACAGACCACCAAGCTTCATCTCACAAGGATCAACAGTCTTTCTCAAAAAAGTGTAACCATAGGCGGAAATAGCGAGGTCGAAAAGAACATAGCCCTGAACGGATGATGTGGCGACCACCTCAACGGTCGCAGAGTTATTGTTTGGGGTGTAAACAACGTTGAAAAGGCTGGCAGTAAAACTAGAGTCGTCCTGGCAATTGTTGAGAGAATTGGACACGAGCATGTCCTCGCCCGCAACCGGAGAAAGCATCGTGACCATGGAGGCCAGGAGCAAAAGCGGCGCCTTGAGAAGCGACCGCATTTTGACAGTGGTCGAGTGTTGTCGTTTGATCTTTGAAGAGAGAGGATAATTGGGAGTTGGGACCAATACAGTCAATCGGTACTGCCCAATCTGAGTGGCGTCGTCGTCGTCGTCCCGCGAAACGGCTCACTGTTTAGTCGAGGCAAGAGTTAATGTGCTGAGGGCTGCCAGGTTTGAAATGGTCATTTAACGAGGCAAACGGAGGATCGGTCGGTGGGCCAGGTCGGATCAATAGGTGAGAGGCTGGTCGGGTTGGGTCGACGACCTAGAGAGCCTGTCGCAACTATGTCGTCTGCAAGCGAATGACTTCTACCGGAGATGAGGTGACGAGGAAAAGAAGACGATGAGTGATGTCGGAGCGAGGGGAATAAAGAGTGTCCGATCCGAGCAAACAAGTTGTTAGACGAAAACCCCGAGTAGCGAATGAAATGGGGCGGTGGAACGAAGGCCTTCTCCAGATAAGACTGTCAGGGAAGGCGACAGTCGACTACAAGAAGGGGGCGGTGGGCGAAGTTGGAGTTGGAATGGCTTGTCGCGACAATGGAAACGAGCCAAGTGATGGAGGAGGAGACGAGGCACTCGGGTTGTTAATGAGGGAAGGGAGCCGCGAAGAGAGGGTGGGTTCGGGAACAGGAGTGGAGGAAGCAATGTGCAGAGCCTTTCAGGCGGCGTCAGTCGGTGGAGATGACTTGGAGAGTCCATGTCAATACAAACCAGACCACGCGGGTTGCCAAAAAGGCCGCACACCCCGTACCCACAACCACACACACAGGTGTGCAGCCTTTTTTGCAACACGCGTGCAGACCA